GATTCAATTAGAAAATAAAAATTATATATATGGTGTTCTACAATTCGCGTTTTTAATTATAAAAATAAACTTGTTGATCAATTTAGAATTCTTTCTTTCTCGACGAAAATATTAAAACATTATTTGTGACAATCGTTTAATTTTAGACGTTACATATTCTTGTAAGCCTCTTCATAAATAAAAGTTTTATTAAAATATGAAATTTAATTTTAAAAAAATAAGATTTGTGTCCGCAAAATAAGATTTGAGTTCACAAAAAATCTTGATTTTATTCGGTTTACAGTTAATTAAAAATTGTTTTTAGCCTTTTATTTTTATATGAAATTAAGCAATTTTTTATTTGACAGAATTATATTTTAATTCTTGTTACATGAAATAAAATATCATAAAATTTTTCGTTCTTCCTTCTTCCAATGTATTTTCCATTTTAGTCAGATAATTATAAGAACTTAAATTGTAAGTGTAACGTAACAAATAAAGGAAAAATATGAAGATAAATATAAATAAGTATGAAATTAAAAACAGATAACACGAAAATAAATTAAAAAATGTTAAAGGAATTGGAAAATTATCAGAAACAAAAACAATTTAAGTAGGTTAGAATAGACATTAGGCATGGTTATTATTTTCAATTTCATTTTACTATTCCTATCTCTATGACTAAAGGTAAATTGTTAGTAATATATAAGTATATTAATAATTATCGATAAGTATTTATTTTTCAAAGTAGCACAAGACCTTTCATAATATAAGACTCTAAACTGCGCAGCTCTTACACACACATGCTTAGTTTATACACGTAAATCCGGCCACTTAATATGTGAGTACTAAACTCCAATTAAAATTCTGTTAGAGTATTCTTAATCAATATTTACTTGCGTCATAAAAAGTCGTCTGCTTTTAACGGTCAGTTACATAAGAATTAGGAATATTTCGACATTTGAAGGAAGAAATTGATTCTAACTGGGTCTCAAAGAATTCGAAAAAATAACCAGTGGTTTCGAGACATCTACCGTAATTATTTACGTGGAAAGTTTTGAAATATTCTTATAATGATGCGTATTAGGATTTGATCAAGTTCGAAAGCACTTGAAATGGCGCATTGTGGGACGAGAGATGAGTTTGTTTTTAAAAATCTTGCAAACATACAGTCAGAATTAACAACTATATTTATAAAATATTTATAAAATGTATAATAAAATAATATAGAAAAGTACAAAGGAATAAAAGGAACAAGGGTATCCAGTACAAGAAGCATTCAAAAAAATTTGTAGATTAAAAATGCATTATCAGACACGATAAAATCTCAGAACTAAAAAATCTAATACAATTATTATCAGTTCACGGATCGAAACATTTATAAAATATATAGAAAAATACAAAGGAATAGAAAGGATAGAAATCTGATAGAGTATCCAATACAAAAAGCACTCAAAAGAATTCGCAGATTAAAAAAGCATGACATCAGAGAGACGTGATAAAATTTCAGAACGTTTAGAATCAATATCGATTATCACTTCGATTTTGCGATAAAACGTGTTTCTCCCTCTGCCTTTTTTCCCGTTGCATCGTCCCAATAATATTTGTATCTGGAATAGCGTATTCAAGGAGATTCGCAGGCACGTTCTATCAGATATCTCGACTACCTCGCCCTTGCGAGCGGCCTGCATGCCCTAGGGTTGTTCCCTTCGGCCGTAAAAAAATTAGCGACACCTTTTACGCAGCGAAGAAGCGCGCACGCCGCACGCATAGATTTATTTCCTCATTAACACGTGTCGCGACGTCGGAATGATGTCAGTGCGCGCACGTGTCGCACACCGACCGTCTATACAGGTCGGCGGCGCGTGTACAGCCGATATAAGCGCGTGTGTCGTATATATGTTGCCGGGCACGGAGGCATTCGTCCCCGCATCTCTCTCTAATAGTGCGGAGCATACGGGGCCGAATGACGTAAGACGGCCTTCCACGTGTCCGCCCTCGTCGCGTCGTTGTGACGAGTTCGCGCGTGTATCGCTCTCCGTGTAATCTTAACGCTTTAATCAAGTTTTTTCCGCGAATGTGCCAGAATTATCGCATACGTTGTATTGTACGTCATGCAGCGTGATTTTTAGCACCGTCGGCGGAAAGCGCAGAATAGATGACTCCGGACGTTTGGCTGGCGCGCGCGCGCGCGCGCGCGTGTGTGCTCGTTAATCATCGACACGTGCCAAAGCTTGAAAAAAGAATCGTGTTTATGCTGACGCGTCGGTATGTGTTTCTGAAAGAATCGTAAAAGAGATTACGTATGCGGCAGATGACTGGCTCGACTATTTATCTGTTATGATGAGAGAGGGGGTAGGATACAAGGAAATTCGCTTTCGTCGTCATATGATGGATATATCTGGTTCGATAAACTACGATTTTATAACGAAACGCTATTATAGAATCTGAGATATTCGTAGAGATATATCTACGGTAGCAGATTTGAAATAGAATGCAGACTTTTAGAAATAAACCTTCGAGAAATGTTTTGGGAAATGTTTTAATATATGCAAAAAGATAATTGAAATTATATTTCACGATAAAATAGACTTGTGTACACATAATTATAAAATTTATTCTCTGCATCTATTAATTTTTCGACATTTTAAGCCGGTGAGAGTGATGATGAATAAAAAGCTATTTTTAATGTCTTCCATTCTAATATCTTGAAGAATAACTTTAAGCTTCGAAGTGTATATTTCTTGGACGTGTATGTCTCAAGGAATATACATGTCGAGAACTAGTTATTCTTCGAAATATATTATGTATATATAATATTTTCATTTTATGTATTAAATTAAAAATGTATTATATATAATAAAATATATATGTATAATTAAATATATAAATATATTATATTTATATATAAAATATATCATATACATATATTATAATATAAAATATATGTATTTACGTATGAGTTTCAAATATTATAAACATATAATTTTATAGATATATATATAATTAAATATGTCTATATTTATCACATTTTATATATATTTGAAGAATATTTATAATATATTATTTGTAACAATATAAAATAAAAAGACAATTATATATATGTATAATATATAATTTTATAAACACGTAAGAAAAGTAACAAATGAAAAAATAATATATACACATATATACATATATAAACGTGATAAATAAGCACGCATATAACAAATGCAGGATTACGCGAACAGGTTGTAAAAATTAACGCGAAAATCTTGGCAAATCTGCAGCAGCATAAATAATTGAGAGTGAAATGCAGATGCGCGCGTGCTGCGCGATGCAGTCGATGCAGATGCTCTTTACCTGCTCTTTCCACGCATCTATGTGTCAAGGACTCTTTGTATTTATTTATCACATGTCATATACGGTCTCGGTGGCGCGCGCGCGCGCACGCCCACGTCACGCCTCGCACGTGGTGGAGGATTCGAGGTCAAAACAATCTCAAATATATACGCGCCGCGCCACGAGTAGGAGCTGTGAGGCTTTGGCATTATTTCGGTGCCGGCACGTGCAGTGACGTTGGCGGTAATCAGGTCATCGCCTGCATCGATCGCGTCGGGGGAGGGGCGGGGCGGGACACGCGCGGGGGCGGCGGCGGCGGCGGAAGGATATCCCACGTGTAGGACACATAGGTCGTCATCAAAACCGGATGTTATTCCGAAGTCAATAGGAATATTAAGAGACGTGTCAACTCGACACTAATGACGCCGTTTGATGTATATTTTGCGGAAGTTATAACAATGATGACAGATCCCTTATTATCATTTTTTACGTACGATCGTACTTTCAGAAGTGACTCCGATAATTGTCCGTAACCAACGCAATACATATTCATGCATAATCATGCATGATTGTCTGTAAATTGACAAGTCTTCAGTCAACAACTTGAAGATGTATATTTTGAACACTTTTATTGTTACATATGCATTGGATACGCATGAATAAAATTAAGATAATTGCGCGAATGTTTTGCTCATTTTACAAATATGTAATGTTTGTACTACATACATTAATAAGGTGCGATTACACCATGTTGTTGTTTCTAAAATTAAGTTGTAGAAAAGATATTGTTAAACTGTTACATTTTTATAATTATTTTGTGTAATAAGAGTTAAAAAAATGAATTTTTTTTTTAAAGAAAGAGAAAGAAAAAACAATGCAATATATGAAATAATGGCCCGGGAAAAAATGTTATATAAATGGACATCTTTTATATAATTTAATAAAATTATATATGAAATATTTTTCCCGGGGCGATATAATGATATTACCTCTTTCTCGATGTAGATTTATTCTAAAACGAAAATTTGAACGCTGAAAATTGAGAGAGAAAGAGAGAATTCTGAATATATTTAGAATATAAATATCTATAAATAAGTGACGAGAGAGGAAAATGTTCATGCAATTCTACGAAACGATCGAACAGGTTCTAAAAGATATTTGCACATCAAGAAATTAGTTACGGTCATACTTATTTTATAATAAATGTGATATTTTATAAAAAATGTGATATAATAAACGTTAAATTTTTTGTGTGGAAAATATTATACGTTTTATAACATTTTTTGTTACGAAATTTGTTGAAAAAAATTTGCCTCTTTTTAATAGCGAATTTTTTAAATAGCTTTTAGTGAAAAAATGATAATTAAGAAATGCTAGCGTGTCTCGTCTTTTTGCTATATGCAAATATATCATTTCAATTGTATAAATGAATACTAAAACAACACTGACATAATATTTGTCGAAGTTTTCAATCGTCTTTACGTTACAGACGGACTGTTATTCTTGCTTTTATTATACTAGTATCGTTTTACGATATGTCTTTATTGCAGTCTTTACTACAGCCTTTACTACACGAGATGTCTACAGCAGTAGTCAATATCGTAAAACGATATTTACTGCTGTGGTAAAGATATCACACTTGCGAAACAAACAAAACACGTTATTCGTAATAAACCGGTAATGCGAAATTCATGTTTCAGAATTTTCGCACCGAGGATGGCGCCGACTGTTTGCATAGCCGAGTTCCCTATGGCCATGGGAACCACTGTTAGCTCGCGCGTCCGCTACCGACGAGGATTTCAAAGCGGTATGAAACGGCGGAGATTCGCGTTGGAATCTCAACAGATGCTGCGAACCGGAACGATCGCCGAGACGCTCTTACCGCCTCATGAAAATTGTGAATCGCGAAGACTCGACTATCCGGACACGATATCAGACTGTTCTGTCGTGGATAGAAGCGCGGAATACGCGACAAACGTTGATGAGGATTGCAATAGACTCGTTGCGGAAAGAAGAAGAGGTAAAAAAAATTGCTAAAAACTCAAAATTGCGAAATATTATGTACACGTTTTGTTTCTCAACTACTTTAGACGGTTATTTTAAAATTTTTTCGAATCCTCACGATTTGACCACCAGACGATTCTTGCTAAATATACTTTTAATACGAGTCATCGAATCAAGCGATTTCCGCTATGGTAATTTTTCGCGTCGCGTCGGATCGCGCGTGGCGAGTATTTTCGTAAATTAGCTCGGAATTGAAAGAGTAAAACTGAAAGACAAATAATATAGTTAACAAATATATACTTTAAGAGGAAGAGTGCACTTGAAAATGACCAGCGTATCAATGTTTTAACAAAATGAATATAAAAGAGAATACTTATATATTATATATGAATAAAATATAAATGAATAAAAGAATACTTGCCACGCGCGACGTGACGCGAAAAATTACCATAGATTGTTTTTTCACATATACATCTATTTTGAGCTTTTATATATATCTTATTTTGAGCTATGACAGATTTTATGGATATATCTAAAATGTAAAATAAGAGAATATATTGCTTTTGCTCAAAAGCAGACAATGAAGAAATAACTTTAAAAATTTATGTGATTTTTAAATTTTATTTGCGCTTTGATAGCTTCTATTTATAATCTTGACCTAAAATAGACAAAGAGAAAGAAGAAAAAGAAAGGATTCAATAAGATTATCACTAAGTAGATACGTAAGTAAAAATATTAAATAATTAGGCATTTCTATGAACTATTGTATATTGCAATAATTGGTAGGTTTAACTTCAGACCTGATGTGCTGCGTCATAACGTACAAACTTTATTTTAATTGCCTGGTAGCCAGGGAATGGGAATAATGTGTTATTTATAATACCGGTTTTTATCTTTACTTTGTTATGATAAGCCAAAGTGATGACATTGCGAATTTTTTATTATAGTAAGTCCCTAAATGCAATAAGTGTAGTAAGCCTGAAGCCTTAAGGAATTAATCAATTACAATCGAATGTGAGAAGAGTACTCGACTATGATTAATCAATTTCTTAAGACTTACTACATCTATTGTATTTTTTGGGTTAATGTTAACGCCAGAATTTTAGAAAAGTTACTTTTGAAAAATAACTAGTCATTCCCTAGTCATTACGCGTTATCTATTGAAAAAAATAACTCGTTACTTGTAATGCGTTCCTTTTCACTCGTAAATACATTTTTCAATTAAGGTAATTTAGTTACTTTTTAAAAGTGATTTTCCCAACTTTAGCGTTTAGTTAGTTATCGTTACCGTCATAAAAAATTGCAATGTCATATTATCAAATTATTATTATTATAAAACATAACAGTAGAAGTAATGTTATATATTTTCTATCCCTACTGATGGTATCACAGCTTTTAAGCGTTCTTTTATCAATTTTTTTTTATTTGTCTATACTTTTCTCTCAGGAAGCATTAAACAAATTTTTTATAATAAATGTTTATAATTTTTAAAAAAATTATAATTTTTATGTTTTTAAATTTCGTCAGAAATGAATAGACTATGATTCATCAGTTTTTAATTATAAAAGAATTATAATTAAAAAAAAATAATAAGAAAATATATTGATATTCAGATATAATATATATTAATTCAATGAAAAAAGGGAATGTAGAGATAAATAATTATGCTCTATGATTTCGTATTTACACCTTTCTAAAGCAAAGCTTGCAATAGATGAGGTTCTTTCCTCGCGCAGAACGAGATCCTCGTATAATCCTCATAAATCTCTTGCATTCGCTCGAGGGATTTATCTCATTTTGCATATTATTCCCGACGCGTTTCTGATACTATTCTCAATCTTTCTCGCAGATCTCTTGAGCATCGTCGTGCGTACGATAATACTCGTACGGCGCAACCGTATCCTTCAGAGGCGTTTAAACGCGTTGCGGGCGGAAACACGAAGGTTTCTCCGTTCTGTATTAAATAATCCAGAAAGTCAACAACGAAGGTCGCAAATGCCATCACATTTGGAGGACTCGTCATCTACGGAGAAAATCGTCTCGACGTTATCGCCTCTACTTCCTGCCGATCCAACAAAAAATTCATTTCAAATCACCAGTCGCGGTAATCGTGACCATCCCAATGACGAATCAAGTTCGTCTGATAAATCCGAAGCGAACAGAAGTGAATGTTGATTGTTTAATATCCGGATATTGATAACTTCTCAACTGGCATGTAAATAGGCGGTGAGTCATTCAGGCATTCACACCTATTTTACGTATGTAGAGAAGAGACAAAGAAGTTTTACTTTAAATATATTTTAATATACCTCTTTTCGCGCGGGAGAATATACATAGACTCTTCTCCTATTCTATGTAATATATAAAAATAATATATAAGAAACTGATTAATTGTATTTCTGATAACGCGTTACTCTGCAAAGTCCCGAGTGTCTAAGACTCAAGTATCATTAACTTTCATGAGTTATTCGGAGTATGAATAGGTACTCCAGAATTAACGAAAAATGAACTTGCAACATTTTCTTGTAAAATTTGAATTTGTTGAAGAAATAAGCATTATTCATTTTCAAATTATAAATTTGAAAATTAAGTTATTATTAAGCTATTATTATTAATTCGAAAATTAAGCTTTAAAAGTTAATGAGTGATGGAATTTGCAATAATTGATTAACAATTATATTTGTCGCGTTAGTCAAATAAATTTAACAGAATTTTTATTTGAGGCTTGATTATGAAGATGTCGAACTGAGTAAATACAAAGTAACAATATATAATATTACATGAATGTTATAATTTTCTACTCAACAATGTTACGTGCAAAAAATATGTATTAGATATTATACTTACATTGTTAAGTATAATATCTAATTATAGTAATATATATATATATATATATATTGATGTAATATTATATTGTTATTTTGCGGGAAATATTAGAATGTGAGGAATTGAGAACGATGACATTCCTCGATATAAAGAAAAAGTGATTTTCTGTTACTTCCAATTTTATGAAGAGGAAACAATGCTATAAATATATCCAATTTTTATTTATTCTGTTACTCTCTCTCTCTCTCTCTCGCTCGCTCGCTCTCTCTCAGCCTTCGTATTCAGATATTCACAATACGCTATTTAGAACATCGCAAAACCTGTTTAAACAAATAGATTGCTTGTTTAACAAGCTCGATTCGAAACTTTAGATTAAAAGAGCAATTTCGCTGTGCGCAGCAATTATGTGAGATACATTTTCGATTATATGAAATATAAAGAAGATTCCAAAGTAATCGCTTATTCTAAAAGTATTCTGAGATCTAATAAAAAGAATTATTCTTGGACGTTAATATATGTATAGGATGATAGGATTCGATTTTTTCCAACACAGAAGTTAAACTTTTGCTGTTTAAGATACCGAAGCAAATAAAATCGTTACTCTTGAATGATTTCGAAAAACTAGCCGGATAGTAGTGATTAAAAGAAATGAAGTACTATGTTAAGTGTCAAGTTTGGCCACTGCAAGTAATCTTTGATTAAACGTCAGATACTTACTAAACGTTTAGATGGCATAAACATTAAAAAAAGGTGTTGGTATAATCTCTTCAAGTAATGTAATACATCAAAAGAACGCCATAATTAATCTAGTTTATTAGGATCTCGGCAATTAAGCTATCCTTACATGAATTTTATTAGTAATCGCATTCAATCATTAAAAGATAGAATAGATGTTATAAGATCAATCTGCTATCTGATGACGAAGTAAAAAACGAATAATCCCAGTCAGAAATGATAATAAAATCGACATCGAATCAACGTCGATTCGACATCGAATCAACGTCGATTCGACGTCGATCGACGTCGATTTGATGCTTTCGACGTCGAATGGACATCGATTCGATGTCGATTCCATTATCATTTCTGACTGGAATATTAAAATATGATACGCAATTCGGAAATGTCAATTTAGAAATTAAACATAGAAAAATTTTGGATAATATTAAAATACGTTGGATGTTTATTTGTGCATTGACTTCTAATAATTTCCGTTCATTAGAATACAATAGAAAAGTTGCGGAAAGTTACAATGTGATACTCAATTCAGAAGCATCTCAATTTATAATTGTTAAATATTCAAAAGAACTTTGATTCCAAGTAGCACAGCACTTATATGCGCTTTTTTTAGCGCTTTTTAAGCGCTGTGTTCTACTTGAGATGTGAAATATAAAAAACTTTGAATAATTGAAATACTTTGACTAATTTGCGTATTGATTTTTTATGATTTCCGCTTATCCGAATAAAATAGAAAAGTTGCAAAAACGTTATATTATTATTACGTTTGCGGGCCGCTCCATGTATTTGTATTATTTGATATTTATTACATTTTGTTACCAAAATATTTTTGAAACTCTTGAAGGAGATATATCGATATAAAATATTAGAAAAATAATTACTAATATATGACGATATCAAATTAAAGAATTCGCTGAATGGAAAATTTAACCGGCTGCGCCTTTCACTTTATATAGACAAAAATTCTAAAAAATAAATTTAAAACCTGCTGTTTAAATTATAAACCTCTCTTAAATAATTAGTATTTCAAAATCAGAAGCGATAATGATCTACAATTCTCGTAACGTTTACAGATCCTTGTAACATTATACGTACAATCGTTGTATATGCCTTGGTATAATGTATAATCACTGTAATAGAGTTAAGTCAGTTGAAACAAAAATTCTCTCGGATTTCTTGATGAAAATATCAGTATCAATCTCGATCTAACAATTTAATTAAATATCATTCGAGCGTTCCCTGTAATATGGCTGTGAAGTCTGTATTTGCACCCGCATCTTCGCATTTTCGCAATATTTTATCTAACTTACGTAGCTATTTCATCGAACAGACAGCTACAGAAGAGTTCTGTAGCTATATTATAATGCGCAATTTCATGCAAAAATTTTAATTTAATTAATATATTACGCACTTATATGCCAGCTCGTGACAGTCATCATAGATAATGACATTTTTAATTATTAACTTGTTGAAAAATATTAATTTTTTTTTTAAAGAAAAGATTAATAAAATTAATATTTACAGAAATTAACACCAGATACACACACACACACACACACACACACACACACATAAATACATACATACCCAGATAGCAAAATGTCTGCAGTCTTCTAGCAGACTGTCAGCAGATTCGAGCAGAAAATGATGACAGTCTGCCATCAACTGCGTCCGCATTAGGATTGTGTTCTAGCTGTTAACATCGGTTGTTGACATAATGGAAAGGCAAATTGTTGGAAGAAACTAAGCAGATCCTGCCGACATTATTTGACGCTAGACTGTCAGCAAAAACGACGCAGATCGTCGTAGACTGTCAACAATCTGCTATCAAATCATGTCAGAGCAGGATTTGCGTCGTTTCTGCTGACAGTCTAATGCTAGATGATATCGACAGGATCTACTTGGTTTCTGTAGACAATATATTATCAGATTATACCACAAATCTGCTCTGTTTCTTTCTCCAGTCTGTCATTTACTTCTACTTGCAGATTCTGTTACGTTTTTTCTAGCAATCTGTCAACATTATTATGTACATCTAATTCTATAACAATTCTGTATTGTTATTTTGTTGGCATAGTGTGTAGCAGACATTAAAAAAATCTGCTTTCTACAGACTTGGCTATCTGGGTATATATTGTTAAAGTCGCATGAATCTCCGATGTTTATAAATAGTTTATTACTTTTCAGCTCGACTACTTTTTATGTTTTATGAGAAATATAAGCCAGAATCATCCAATTATGCAGCGTATTTAGGAAGTATATGCTTAAGAAGCTTGATCAACAATTTATATGTGATATCCTTCCACTAACTTGATCCAGCTTGACATACAAAGTAGGGAAAATTGGAAATTTTCATTTGATAACTTCAATTTGACGATTATTTCGCGAATTTAAATATTAGAGACAATGATGTGAGAATAGTATATTTACAAAGAATAAATATTTTTGGCGTTACATTATTGGAGAGATATGTCTCTTTGTGGAGGTACATCTTGTGCATCTTCTAGATGAAGAGAAGGTATATCTTCACAGGGAGACGTATCTCTCCTATATATAGGCCAATAAAATAACGTAGCCTCCTGCCTCGCTACATACCGGTGAGCGTCAAATTTTTATTATTAGTTTGGCTCGTCACCATAGTGCGAATTTCGCAGAGTTCCGGTATAAGACGTTCATCCGAAAATAATGGCCGGATTTCCGCATCAACAGGAATGCGCTTCAATTCGTCTAGCCGCCATATATCTTTTACAAGTAACAAATCCTTATATTTATTTTACGAATCGTGTATTTTGAGATATCTATATAACTAACAAAAATTGAGAAAGCAATGTTAATACCACATTTAATCTACTTTAGAATTATGTGATGTAATCATAGTTACATATACATATATATTTCAGGGATATAATTAATAAATTTCATACTGAAAGTCATGTGATAAATATCCTTTTAGCATTATTCAATCAAACTGTACGCGAATAGAGAGAATTTGTGCCTAAGGTGCATATACGCGCTACTTTCCAATCACTGGAGCAATACAAATATATTGTCTGGTGAATATACAAATATACACATATATATTATATGTATATGATAGACGACGATTAGATAATATTTCGATTCATCGTAGTTTTATCGTAGTAGATTATATCTAATGGTTGTAATATTTACTGTATGTATTTACAATAAGACTATTTTACTGTCGCCATGATTACAAAGTATTTTATGAATCTTATCTTACATACCGATGGACATGTGTGTGTATGCGTGTGTGCATGCGTGAGAATAAATATATTATTAAAAGAAAATATTTACAAATAATGTCTTGTCATATCATTGTGCTTAATTATTTTTAATATCGCTATCGTAAAAAAACGGAATCAAATATTGTAATAAGAAATTAGTATTTAACAGAGCAATATTCATAATTATATATCGTATTGCAATATATTTTGTATAGCTCGTGTGACTTAAAGATAACAGAGAGAGTATATATATTTCGTATATTTATTGTATTCTCCAAACCTCTAATAGAAGAACATAATTTTAAACAATTTTAAATTATAAATTTATATAATTGATGATTATATTACAAAAACAAAGTAGTATTATACATATATAACTTATTTACACCTTTCTTCGTCACTTATTTTAATGCTGCCCGTATTTGTAGTCTTGTAACATTATACCATTTTATGTAGTAAAAAAATAAAGACAATTTTACAATCATAATATTTTGTAATTATCACTGATTTATCACTATATATTTTATTTAAAATTTTTATTTAACAATAACTTATATAAATTGAGATATGCTATATTAAACTGTATAAGATCTAAATCTGCTTCCCGCAAATATTGCTTTCCGATATTCACAAAAAGTTTTATTTTTTATAAATATATTTCTTTTTGTTTTAAAATGTGCTATCTGCTATTCTAATTTTTATTAATGAGCTTCCGGTGATTGGGAAAAGAGAACTACAAAGACCCACAATTGGAGCAGTGCCTACAAAAACGTATACATTTTGTAGCAGTATTTTAAACATAAACGACAATTAACACGTACTTACCATATAAATCAATACTAAAATCCTAGCTAATGGATATCTTCTTAAGAATACTCCCGTTCGAATGCTTATGGCATCCAATGAAGAATAAGCTCTTTTTACTCTTCTAGTAACGCTGGTATCAAACGGTGTTTCCATTAAAAATGTAGGAACTTGAGCTTTTGCATCGTCCGTATCGTTTATATTGTTATACGATATGTTTCTTCGTAAATTGCCTGCAGCATTTCTATATTCATGCTGTTAAGAAGATTATTATTATCAGTATATACATACATAAAGCTTAAAAGACAAATTTTTAGAAGAAAATATTTTATATAATGTTAAATTTTATTAATAAAATTATCAAAATTTAATGTAATAAATTTTATTTGTGAACAATGTCGCAGAAAATATTCTCTAACAAAAATTCGTAAGTTATTATATTTACTTCGATTTTTTCAAGTTGAAGACGTAATGCATTTCTTTCTGTCGTCAAACATTCCAATGCTTGCTGTTTTAGAACCAGAGTTTGAGTAAGAGATGCTATTCTCGAATCCATTTCATTACTCGGCGTTGCCGACACCGACAACTGCAACTTAAGCCTAGAAATCTCTGAATTCTGCTTTTGTAACTGTAAACTAAATCCATTACGTTGACTAATTAATTCATCTTTCAAGGATCTTATTTCCTAAAACAACATTTTTATTTTTAACCTTTTTGATTTATTAATTCACAATAACATAGAGACGTAATCTGTGTAGAAATTCAAACAAAAAAATGTAATTTACCTCAGAATGTAATCTCATGTCTTCTTCTGTTTCTAATCTTCGACGTCTTTCACTAGCAAGAATCTCTTGATTTTGTAGATTTGTCTCGGCTGACTTTTGTCTTATCTTTTCTAAGTTCAGATCTGCATTCACCAGCTCTTCCCTCAACATTTTCAGCTGCTGACACATTTGCTGATTTTCCTCCCTAACACTGTCACGTTCCTGTCTGTGATTTAATACAATAGATTATAAAATTAAAAATAAATCAAGGGCCACAAGCCAAGCTGGATCTTAATGCTAAAAATTACTAAACCATAAGTTTATTATACAAACGTTTCGACCCCTGTTGGATCATTCTCAATGTTTAAGTTAAATACAATATAAAATCAACAGTTCATTTGAAAAACAACATGTCAAAACATACAAAGATTAAGAACGGTGAAAGTAAAAAAAATATAAATTCATTATCGTGTGAGTATCATTTCGCTAAACGGATGAGAATATTAACTGATATGTAAATTTAACGAATAGATGATGAAAATTCAGACGTTATAGATACGTTACAGCACATGGTGGTCATTGCACTGCTCTCTTATCAAATGACCTTAAACGTAATTGCAGCAGTGCAAAATTTTTTTACTTTTACTTTTTTTTCTTACGTTCTTAATCTTTGTATGTTTTGACATGTTTTTCAAATGAGTTATTGATTTTATATTGTATCTAACTTAAACATTAAGAATGACTAAATAGAGGTCGAAACGTTTGTATAATAAACTTATGATTTAGTAATTTTTAGCATTAAGATCCAGCTTAGCTTGTGGTCCTCGATTTATTTTTAATTTTATAAATTATTTGAGCCTGTTGTCTTTTACAATAGATTATGTCCATAGAATGACTGCCGCATATTAACATTATAGACTTGTAAAATACTGATGTTAATTGTACTGACTTTAATTGATTCAATTCCATGATAGTGGCTTCATCCATGGCTGTCGGTGCATTGCTTTTCAATTCTGCTATAAGTTTTTCCTTTTCTTGTAAAGTTTTTAATGCCCTAGCTTTATGCTGTTCCAATTCAGATCTAATTGAGTTTAACTCTTGTCTGTTCCTGTCAATGATGGATTGTAAATCTACTACTTGTTTTAACTGCTCTAACTTTTCCATTTCCAAGGCTTTCAACTTTTCATTTAGAACTACAATTTCTTTTTGAAAGTCTGTTTGTTTCCCAAGGAATTCATTTTGCTTCTCTAAGTGTCTTTCCAATTCTCTTATATATTTTCGTTTATTTGCTAAATCAATTGGATTATCTAAATCATCCGTTTTCACATTGTTTGACTTTATTTTATATCTGGGTTGGGGAGAGAATACATCTAAATGGTCCTCTGCATTGTTGTGTTCTGTAATATAAAAATACACAAAATATCTATAGAAAATGATACATTATAAGTATATGACAAAAAAATTAAGATGTACCATTCTGTATAATTTCAGTTGTTGGATTATCTAGATTTTCACAATTCAAGGTCTGTACTTCATTACTTGGATACAAATTTGAATTTTCCATATTTATTTCAGCATCTTTATCATTCAAAATATTGGGAATCATTTCAATTGAAACATGAGACGGAGTTGGACTAATCCGATCACTCTGAATCGATAGATCTGAATCTGTGTCTGTAGGATGTTCTACCAATAACGATGAAGTAGTTGATGGTGATTTAAAGGATTCCACTATCCTCTTTGGACTCGGGTCAGGAGTATTTAAATATGTAAATAACGCGTCTTCGTTAGGTGTCGTTACATTTAATAGATTCACTGATGTCAAACCTGAAGTAGGAGCAACATAAGGAATATGATCCGACAATCCCAATAAAGGTGTCTTGGACGTATTTCCACTTAATCTAAATTTAAAGAAAAATATTTTCATCAATAACTTTTTTTTATATTTTGTATAAAATAAATTTGTATTATTTATATTTTACGTTGTACACAAAATATAAAGCGAAATGAGGAAATGACATTTCGCGAAGTGATTAATTAATCTAAATATTCAACGGTAATAACCTGAGATTGATATGAACGCAATTACCCAGATTCCGGAGAGAGCCATGTAACTTCTGACAGATGACCCTGCGGCATCTCGTATTTATCTTTATTTAACACGGCCGCGGTGTTTTTGTCAATTTTATTCAATAAATTCTCTGCCTTATCAGCAAGACCGGACAGCCAAGCCATATCGACGTAAGGGCTGATAAGAAATATCTGGAGAAATGAAAACCGTGCACGTAACGACGCTCAACGAAACCACACTCCCGGAACCAATCAACCCGCGTCTACACGACAATGACAGAATATTGGCTGGTGGCATACATAGGTGAATGAGGCAACGTGTCGCTTCAACTGCACTCTCCCGCGCTCATTGCACTCAAATCGCAAAAGGTGCATTTAATTGCTAGGGAATTGTTGATTCTCATTGACTGCGTTCAGCGGACTCAACAGTTGATTGAGCGCTCGCTGCTATTGATGTATTCTTCTAGATCTAAAATTCTGATTGGATGAGCTAAAAGAATATGTCAATGAATACATTCAGAACGACAACCACATAGGTGCGAAAGCATAGGTAGAAAGCTCATTAATGCGGGGTCTACAATAAAAGTCGTAGCAGTCGTAGGATCTTAAGTCGTAGAAAATGGACCAATCGTAGTCGATTATTCTTCTCATATTCTACTGTGATTGGTTAATTTTCTACGACTTAAGACTCTACGACTGCAAGGAACAGGGAACAGAGAATAAGAATTTCAACCTGTCAGAAATCATGTATTGTGGAATACACAGTGTATATATAGAAATATATTATATAT